AAACGGGATATTTAAATCACTGAGAAAAGAAAAAAAAAAAAAAAAAAAAAAAGGATCTGTATGGGTTATATGACTGCCATGGGGCTTGGTCTTAGTTGTGCAGACTCGCCAAATACAGTTTAAATGCTCCATCAACACGAGTGCCGTCGCTTTTGCTGTGCCTCACGTCACCACAGCATGGAGTGCCCATTAAGAGTATGGCTGCCCTGTGTATGTTTTGATCTAGCTGTGCTGGCACTGCAGGTAGAAAGAAGGTATGAGAGGGAGTGGCAGAGACAAGGATGCTCTGTTAAGACCAGTGTTTTAAAGGGACAAGCTTATTTTTCTGAAGCGTGCTATAATGCTAGGAGACGTATTTTTTTCCTAGGATAATGACAGTCTAGGCAGTGTTGCTATCGATACACCCAGTGGCTGCAGTGAGAAAGGTGTAGTAGTAGCAGCTACAGAGGATGTATGTGTATGGCTGGCTGGTCTCGTGCTGCAAGTTTACTGTATTTTTACTCTCCTCTGTGAATGTTAGAGGCTTGCGTGTTCAATGGAAGGGTATAGGGCTACTGTTAAAAACTGTGCTCACCCGACTAGTCCCGAGTCACACAAAGGTTTGCTCCATAAGGATTATTCACGTGTATAAGAGTATGCAAGATCTGATACATAGGTTTTCTTTTATACCTGTAAAATAACACAAATTAAAAAGTTGAAACACTCCCTGAAGTTGTGTTGGCATCAGTTCTTAGCCTGCTGCTTTCAGAAATCCAAGGTAAAAGTTCTATAGCATGCTGTCGTCTCTTACCATGCGGCAGAAGAAATGTTTTCAGGCAGACCTGACAGAAGAACCATCTCTGACCAATTTGGGAGTTCCTTGCCTCCAGCCAGTGGTGCTTCCAATGCTGTTTAGCTGGTTGGGATCTCAGCAGACAGTTTTGTAGGAGGCAGGCAGTTTGAGAGACCAGTGTTATACAAAACAGTATCACTATAGGTTATTGTTAAAATGAGAATATTTAGTTGGTTTACATTGGGAATCGGAAAGAAATTATTCCCTAAAAAAGGATCTGGTAACTTTTTCCTGCACGCTTGTTTCATGCTCATCTGCATTTACTACCTGCTTGTCTCTGACCTTGGGAATAGCCAGCAAAATCCATGCTGAGGACTGTAATAGAGGTACAGGAATGCATAAAAACTTTGTAAGGTGTTTAAGTGTTTGTAAATTTGTATATATGTATAAAAATATATGCATATTTTATAAATACAGGTGTAAACATGTACATTGTAACAAGCTGTAATGTGTGCACATCACTGAAATGAGGAACAGTGAGAAAGGATTTTAGCAGTCCTGGTGGTGATGGACACCACTACCTGCTAGGAAGAGCTGCGCTCCCTAAAGCCTAGAAAGTAATTTATCCTTTCTTACAGATAATATTTTTAGTCTTAAGGGATGATTTTTAAACGAGTATCCAGCTTTTTTTTTTAATCAAATGCAGATTAAAACCTAAATGAAAACCTTCAGATTCACGCACAGTGTTGGTAACTTCTGGGATTTTTATCACAAATTTCTTGATATAGTTTCTGCCTTCAGACTTGAGAGAACCTCTTCTTTTTGTTTTCAATATGGTTTAAAGAAAAGAAGCTTATCTGGCTGCTCTGTTTTTCTGTTTTAGAATAACTGCATTTTTCTGAGGGCAAAAGCAGGTTTATACAAGCTTTGTGAAGACTATCAGCTTCCATTTGATAAAATGATTCTACTGATAGGAAGGGTTGCAGCATGAGCCATCTACTTTGACCTTCTTGCTGACCACTTAGCAAGCCAAGCAGTCGGCATGCTTTAGGTGTGATAAACCTCTGTATCGCTCGGCGATCCACACACCTGCTACCTCTTGCCCTTAGCGTGACGGAGGATGAGAAGTTGTGGGGATGAAGAGATACGGAGGGAAAGGGGAGGAGGAGATCATAAAGTCATGGGAGGTAACAGGAGTAATAAACTTCAGTGTAAAGGATGTGGCGTGGGCTCTACAGGAAATTACGCTTTTTGTGTTGTTCCACTGATTGCAGAACAACTTATTTAAAGTAAGTTTCTAATCATTCCAATGAAAGACAAGGCGGTTTTGGACTTGAAAAATGTCTGACAACTAAAATGAACCCTATTTTAAAAGAAAAAAAAATATTATTTGCAAGCCAATCTGGTGACACCTGCAGCCTGACTTATAACTGGTGAATACTTGGAGTTGGTACACTGTAATCTAATTAAAGTAATAAATAAATTAAAATGGGGGAGGATTTTTTTTTTAATTCTCCAGTAGTTCCTAGGTTTTTTTGTCACGTAGAAGCTGATAATATATAGTCTAAAACAATAAACCATTTTCTGTTACTACTTCTTATTTGAAGGGCTTATGAATCAAAGAAAACAGGATTTGAACTGAGATATTTGCAAGCCAAACATCATAGTGGAGATTTATAATGCTGTATTTTAAAATGCAGTTGGGGTAACAGCCTCTAGTCACTCAGGAATCGTCACAGAAACATGAATATATAGGAATTCGCAGAGCTCGTAAGCTTGATTCACTGGAGACAGAAGACTTAAAAACACTTCTGTGTTAAGGATTCTGTAATTTCTTACTGAGCAAGAAAAATAAGTATAATAAAACTGTTAGGTCTCTTGGGTTCACCCCAAAACTAAAGTCAAAATGCAAGGTAAGTGCTTCAAAATGGCACTGTGAAAATTTACTGAAACTCTCCTTTGAATGAATGCCAACTTTATATCCTGGAAAAAAAGAACATTTTTATCCTTTTCTGAATTTCTCACAGTCATAAGGAGAATCCCTTGCCACTGAAATTAAGTTTTACAGAAATGATGAGCATATTCAGGTATGAAAATTTCATATTTCAGGTGCGAAATTCAGATATGAATGGGGCTGTGTGTAAAGGCTTCTGGTCACAGGCTAACATTAATGGGTGAACACATCTACGCAGGGGATTGATGCTAATTAGTTAGATGCTGCTTACGGAGGTTCTTCTGGAATGTCGTCACGGTTGTAGTTTGTTGGCCCTGAAGGTAAGACCTGATTTAAAGAACTAGAAACAGCCTGTCTTAAACACGTATTCTGTGCCTTTGTGTTGATAATTGTTTAAGTTCCTATTTTGACAGAGCAAACAAGGTGACAGTGAATAAGTGTTACAGATGCTAACTTCTGAAATCTCTTTCATCAGCTATTCTTTTCATCTGATTAATGTGCCCTGTCAGTACAGAGCTGCAATCACCCACGGATACTTCCAGGAAAATGATCAGGGATGGATTCAGATGGAGCAATGCCATAGGTTGTCAAGATGAAGATTAATTCATATCTGGCTTCGAGAGTGGGAGCTAAATACCAAAACAGCAGCACAGCACCTTGCAGACGAGGTACCGATGTTGCATTTCATTTTCTTTGTACATGGATTTGCAGTTCTTTTAAATCTGTGCTGCAGTAAGATGTGCACTAAACTCAGAAACTAGCAGAAAAGGGAGGTGCTTGTAATTGCTTCAGTTTTGCAGTTGGTGGCCCTCATAACACCAGTTATGTTCTTCAGAATACACATCCTAGCTGCTCCTCCTTCCTCTCTGCTGCTTCAGGGTGGTGGTTTTAAATAGAAACGGAGAAATAAGGCACAGTGAAACACTCGACTACATCTCCCAGTGGGGTTGCTCTTTAGAGCCGAAGTTGCATGGCTGTGAAGAGGGCTGAACTCATGGAGTGCGTCAACTCCTCATTCCCACATTGCAAATTTTAGTAATAGTGGGCAATACAGTAATTCAGGAGCATGCAGATGGCATTAAAAAAAATTGGAATGGAAAGGAGATTTTTCGAAAAGGAGTAGCATCAATTTTGGACCTGCAAGGAAAGCGAGGGACCCTTACAACTGCAGAGTAATTAGGTGTTTCTTAAACATTTTTTTCACAGCATTTGTGGATTATTGTGGGCTTCCCCGGCCTCCTCCTTTTATTTTTTAAGGAACAAGGAGAAAAAAGAGAAAGCGTGAGAAAAAGAAATATTTTATTAAAACAATAAAATGTCTTTTCAAACCTACAGAAATGTATGGAGCAACTCAGAAACATGCACCTAGATCTGTCCACTGGTGTTCTCTAAGGTGTACGGTGCAAGCCCCAGTAAGGAGGCCAGGTACAACCAGGCAGTGTACCCAGCCTCGGAAACTGAGACCGCCTCCCTGATTTAGACACAGCCTAATTTTTTAAAAATTCATCTTTCTTGGTTGTTTCTCTGTTTTAATACCAGCATGCTCTTAATTATATATATTGTGTTGCAGTACACACATTAGTTTTGATTCTGCATCCCAGCACAAATAGGTAATTTCCATGCTAATGGTCAGAACAGAAATATGATGCATGATACGTGCAGTTTGCTTTGCTGATTCCACCTTTCTTACGCGTGTAAAGAAAAACAATGACCTATGCAATATATTAGAGAGTTTGTAACACCATGTGGTAGCTGGCTGGTTCCTACGTGGGTCATGTTTTCTTCATCAGCTGACAAGATGTGATGCCCTGAAAAATCAGCGTCTGTTCTTTGCAGAAAGATAAAATATAATCAATTGGAGAAACCTAAGCCATTGCACATGTGAAGTCTTATTCATGGTGACTTGGCTGTGTACATCAGAAATGAACCAAATTACTTTAGAGTAGGAGGAAAGTGAAGACATTGCAGGGGAGACAGGTTATCGGGTGGAAACAGGCAAGGAATGCAAAAAGTGAAAAATTACTTCTGCCTCACCGTAAAATATGAACCCCGGTAATGATGCTGGTGTTGTGCCATAACGATTGGTGGTAAGGCAAATGCAGGGAAGGCTAAAGAGTGTGGTACCATTAACTTATCAAATGGTTCAACTGCCAATTACACCTGACTCTTCAGCGTAATTCACCATAGCTACGAAATTAAATGGAAGCCCCCAAGCGCCCCAAGCAGGAATCCATTAGCAAACACCTATAAATC